CGGGAAGTTATAATATCCCAAGGATGGAGAGCCAAATGGTGGCCAGTGGTGGCCCCCCGGCTATGGGACTCCCTCCCCAGGGATATTAGATCGGCTCTCTCCCTCCTGACTTTCCAAAAAAAAAAATAGCAAAGAACTGGCTCTTTGAGCAAGCTTTTGAGAATGCAGCGGAATAGATAACACAGAACTATGAATGATGAACATGGAATGGCCAGACGATGTTACTGGATAGCGTTTTTTAACAAGATGACACTGATGATTATATGCTTTAACGGCTTTTATTTATGTTTTGTCTTGTAATGTTGATTGTTTTTAATTGCACTTTTATGAATACCTGACATCGAATTGTGCCAATCTGTAACCCGCCTTGAATCGCTGTATGGCTGAGAAAGGCAGGCTATAAATATCATAAATAAATATATATATAAATAATAGACATCTCTGGGGCCCTTTCTTTGTCTTTTCCAGCATAGGAAGATGTTTGGAGATATTTTGTTCATTATCTTTGCAACCAGGACTCGGTATCCGCATAATCCTTTCAATCATCTTTTTGGACTTTCTTTGTCTCCAGCATTCCAAGAAGTGGCCCCTGTGACCAACTCCACTGGCCCATTGGAAACCCCAGAGCCTCCCTGCCCAGCTGGGAGGAGATCCTCGGCTGCGTAATCATAATTGTAAGCTGGGAGGTTCAAAGCATAGCAATGTTAATGCACAAAAACTCTTGTGTATAAAAATCCCTGCTTTATGATTTTGTGCATTTGAACACCAGTTGCTGTACAAGTGTTCCTTCTGCACAGATTGAATAAAGTCTCAGTTGTTTGCCTTCAACCTGGTAAGATCCACGGTTAGCCAGGCTTGCCAGGCGTCCCTCGTTTTCTGTGGGGCTTTGAAAAACCTCAAATTTCCAGCATCACAATAAATTTTGGGTCTCTTTGGGCTTTACCTTTGTACTGTGACACTATTACAATTTGTTCTGTTCTTTGTTATTCTGGTATCATTAACAATTCTGAGTCTTGCAATAAGACACCAGTTCAGTTCCTTCCCATACCAGTATTCATGTATTTGTACAGATAGGTAGATAGACAGACTGCCAAACTCCTTAAAGTCAGAGTCAAGTTGCTCAAGAATAATATAAAACGGGTATGTAGATATTTTAAAAACAGACAAAACTATAACATTAAACTATAAATAAAATATAATTCATTCTGTTTTACTGATGCACCAACATAACAATATTGCCAAAGTCAGTGAACCCAACACCACCAGCCCCTTTTATCTGGCCTAGACTTTCTTTATAGAAAAAAATTATTTGGAGGCTGTAGCATTAAAAATAAGCCATATCTATTAGATATTCTTCAAGGCAGCACTTCTCTAGGGTCGGGGATGTAAGTCACTTCAAGCAGAGTTTGATTTGAAATAGACCAATTGGAACAATTGGTGAAACTTGACCTAAACTCCCCATAGCTTTGTTGTTCCAATTCTCTCTGAAGCAATACAATTTCAGAAAATTGGTATCAACATTTCAGTATTACGGAAATGATGGTTTATTTATATAGATCACTTAAAATGTACCTTTCATCTCCTGTGGAATTTTTTTCTCATTCATTCTGAGGGGAAATATGCTTTTAGCTTCAATGTCCTTGTTAATTTCTCTCCCTTCTATTTGAGTAATGCAGTATCAGAGCACAGGAATTGCAATCTGTTGGTGAAACCAGATGCTTTGTATTGTAACTTGGCTACAATGATGTGATTAAAGGGCAGACAGAAAAATGCTATCCAGTTTCCTTCTATTTCATGTTCAAGAGCAAATTGAATTAAGTAAAGTTTTTCTTATGTTGCAGTGGGTTAAATAACATTTGTTTCAAAGAAGGAAAGAAAGAAATTGTTCCTAATTTAGTCTGATTTTTGCAAAACAGAATTCTTAACTTTTTTCAACCCTGTTTTTAAAAATTCTAAAATACCAGTTTACAGTGTTGTTTGTTTTATATTTATATTCCATTTTTCAACTATAAGACTCCTTAGAGCAGTGTAGAATAATGCAATCAGAATTGTAGGTAAATTACAATTCTATTCAGGAATAGCGCCAGAATATCCCACACCCTTGGTGTTGTAAAAAACAATGGAAATCTCCTTCATTCCAGGAAGAATCTTTGTTCCCACTTCTGTTTCCCCTTTCTTGGGATCTCATCACATTAAGTTGCTAACATGGGCGACTGTGGGGTGATTTGCTGCTTATCATGGTGAATCTGTGGGGCAATGGGGGAATCTGTCCCACAGCAGCAGTGCCACATCACACGGGGAAAGCGTTGCTGCCCAGCTTTCCCCACGTTCATCTTGTTTTTCCTTCATACAATGCTTTCAGTAAAGTTCAGAGATGGAGTCCTGCCAAAAGTAGCTGTATGGGGAAAGCGTGGTTGCCCGGCTTCCGTCCACGTTCATCTTGTTTCTCCCTCATACAATACTCTCAGTACAGTTCAGGGATGAAGTCCCGTCGAAAGTAACTGTACAAGGAAAGCATTGCTGCCCGGCTTCCCCCCACGTTTGTCTTGTTTCTCCCTCATACAGTGCTTTCAGTACAGTTCAGGGATGGAGTCCCGTCGAAAATAGCTGTGCGGGGAAAGCGTTGCTGCCTGGCTTCCCCCCACGTTTGTCTTGTTTCTCCCTCATACGATGCTTTCAGTAGTTTGGTGACAGAGTCCCGCTGAAAGGAGCTGTACGCCATTTGATGGGATCCGTCCAGCTCCGTCCCTGAACTGTGCCGAAAGTATCATACAATGGGTAAATTTTCCCATGTGATAAAGTCCTTAGACAGGTTATTAATATAAGGTATGGTAAAATCTTTAGTTTCCTGGCAAGTGGGAAAGTAGACGTTTTCTTGATCACAAACTTGTCAGGTGATGTTATTAGAAGCAACCAGCTGAAATAAGTGGCTATCCTTGCACACCATAGGAAAAATGTGTGTGCTTGTGTATGTGCACACATGCACACATATTCAAATCGGTTTACAGCAACCTTGTGGATTATATAAGGTTTTCTTTGGCAAATAATGGAGAGAAGTGTTTGCCAGTTCCTTTCTCAAAAATATAGCCTACAGCAGCTGTGATTTGTGGTTGACCTCCCATTTACTAACTGGGACAGCATTGCTTAGCTTCCAAGATCAGGTGACTTTAGGGCAGCATTTCTCAACCTGGGGATCGGGACCCCTGGAGGGGCCGCGAGGGAGGGTCAGAGGGGTCGCCAAAGACCACCAGAAAACACAGTATTTTCTGCTGGTCATGTGGGTTCTGTGTGGGAAGTTTGACCCAATTCTATCGTTGGTGGGGTTCAGAATTTTCTTTGATTGTAGGTGAACTATACATCCCAGTAACTACAACTCCCCAATGTCAAGCTCTATTTCCCCCAAACTCCATCTGTGTTCATATTTGGGCATTTGGAGTATTTGTGCCAAGTTTGGTCCAGATCCATCATTGTTTGAGTCCAGAGTGCTCTCTGGATGTAGGTGAACTACAACTCCAAAACTCAAGGTCAATGCCTGCCAAACTCTTCTAGTATTTTCTGTTGGTCATGGGAGTTCTGTGTGCCAAGTTTGGTCCAATTCCGTTATTGCTGGAGTTCAGAATGCTCTTCGGTTGAAGGTGAACGATAAAACCCAGCAACTACAACTCCCAAATGACAAAATCAGCTACAACTCCCAAATGGCAAATTTGGTCCAGTGAATCTGCATATCAGATATTTATATTATGACTCGTAATGGTCGCAAAATTACAGTTAAGAAGTAGCAACGAAAATAATGTTATGGTTGGGGGTCACCAAAACATGAGGAACTGTATTAAGGGGTTGTGGCATTAGGAAGGTTGAGAACCACTGCTTTAGGGTATTTAGACCACAATCTTGAACTCTTAGGCCACCAGTTGTCCACTACATATATATACCAACCAGTGTTTGTTGTGGGTTAATTGCAAGATACTCCCAGTTTATTCTTCATCATGGGTGTTTCTAGACAACCTTCTTATTGTGCAATAGCCTTTCCCCACTTACCGAACATGGCAGAGGCTAGCTGTTGTCTTCAGTTTGTAACCTTTTTAGGTTTTCTTACTGTTTCTTCTTTCATTTTTGTTTCCAGGGAAAAATCATTAATGAATAAAAGATAGAATCACTGCTCCTTATCTTTTTCCCCCAGTCGTGCTAGAATCATTCTTCAAGGCAGGACCTTCAGATGTTGTTATCAGTGTAAATAATACCATAGTCCATGCCTGCACAGACACAGTATATAGTAAGATAATGCTTTGTGGATATGAGGAAACAACGAGGGACGCATTAGGAAATCTAAGACAGGGCGTTGGCTCAAGAAAGCAAACTCTGAATCCATGGCAAGCCTAGCATCCATTGCTCCACCCATCAATAACAAATCCACATGTATGGCGTAAAGGATTATACACACTGACTGAGAGCAATGTTTCAATAATCAGGGAATGACAGTATTTCTTCTCAACTATTTGATAACTAACATTTCTCGCACCTTCCTTTTATATTAGCTCCACGGAGCACACGTCTCTGAACTTACTGTGAAGACAGCAAACTTTGGAAAATATTGAGCCCTATTGAAATGAATAATGTCTGGTGAAAGTTATCAAAGATGTCCTAGAAAATTCCTAGAGACATGGATAGGTGAAATTGGTCCCATAGCTATGGAGGCCGCGTTGTAATGGTCTCTCATCAGTGGTAGGTTCTTTTCCCTATCACACTACCAATGCATCTTCCAAACTAGTGGGAAGGCATTTTGACATTTTCAATTTGTTTGTTTTATAGTATTGAGCTTTCTTCAACAGTAAGTAGAAGGCGTGCATTTAAATTCCCAGCATATTGTCTGTTTCGGTTTGGGACTGCTCTTTGGCCTCGTTCTTCCTTGGCAAGCACTTAAGTGAGACGCTGTTCACCACAGAGTGCATAGAGGTGCAGTTTTGTTAATCTCTTGTGTGTATTTGTCTTGTTATCTGCAGATAAGAAAAAGTCAAGCAAGTTCCAGCCTTTTAAGAAGTTGTTTAGCAGGAGAAAAAAACGGGAAACAACACCAGACCGGGAGGAGAGCAAGCTGAAACCAAGCAGTTCCTTTGGAAATGTTTGCAATGGGGCCCTGTCTTCTGATGAAGAGACTAACAATGGCCTGAGGTAATGAAAGAAGTGGACTTGTGGTACTGCAGTATTTATGTTCTGGGATCCATCCAGAAAAAAAATAATGGTGGCTTCACAGAGAATTGTTTGAATTAAGTATGATATTTTGCATTTTACCAAATAACTGCAAATGGGAAAATATGTGCTATCGAGACCCTTCTGATGAACTATTATGTCATTACATGAAATCAGTTCTTTAAGGTCTTTTTTCTTTCATTTGACCTCTGAAGTAAGTGATTGCAGGACTGTAGCTTTTCCAAATATTGTAAGATATTTACAACAACAGTATTGACCAGAATCCTGGAGGAAGTTCCACAAGAGTGAACTCATGCATCAATTGTTGAAAAATCAGTCAGTGCTTATTTAATTCCACTGATTCTATGGGTCTGCACTTATTAGGATGACCACTAGCGACCTCATTAGACGGGCTTACTTTCAGCAGCATTCATTGGATCTATAGTTTTACGACAGAGCCCAGCTCCCATCCCAGGACGTTGAACTACTTCCAATGGGACTCCATCATAAAACTATAGAAGATCTGGCGTATGCCACCACGGCAGCAACACAGGAGGTTTCCTGTATTGCCTTTGAAACAACTGGGGAAAGCCAGGTGGCTGATGCTTCCCCCTGTGGAATTGGGCAACCAGTGAGTCAAGTGATGCAGGGCATAGGGGCAATGGGTTCCCCATCCCCTCCCCCCCCCCGGGGGCCCCCCCCCCCGGGGGACGGGCACTGCTGGATTCGCAATGATGCATAGTGATTCCAGTGGCTCGTCTGATTATTTATTGATTTATTTATTTACACCATTTCTACCCCACCCTTCTCATCCCCGAGGGGGGACTCAGGGCGGCTAACACAGGCAACAATTCAATGCCACAAAATCAATACAACAATATAAAATCAAATACAGCAAATTAAAACAGTAACATTAATTAAAATCATATACTCATATAATAACATAGTCGCCTAATCACAAAGTCACATAGCCATTTCCAATTGTCATAACAGCCCTATGGTCTGGGTTCAGTGTCTAAAATGCTGCTGTGCCCACTAGCCAAAGGCCTGGCTCCAAAACCACAACTTTAGTTTTTTTCTAAAGTAAGGAGGGAGGACGGCGATCTAATCTCACTGGGGAGCAAATTCCACAAGACTGAGAAGGCCCTGTCCCTCGTCCCCACCAGACACGTTTCTGACGCTGGTGGGACCGAGAGCAGGGCCTCCCCAGTAGATCTTAAATTACAAGGTGGAACGTAGAGAGATATACATTCGGATAAGTAATGAGGTTGTAAGTCACAGGCCTTTCTCTTCTGAAATGTTTACACTATCAGTGTGCTTTACAAAAGACAAAACAGGGGATAGATGCACACCCTCAACATACTTCTACACAATAATCACATTTATTAAAATAATTATAAATAACAAAGATAAAGAAATAAATTGTAGTTATTGATGGTCAAGCTCTACATCGCCCTCTCTTGATCTGAAGTGGGATCAGGCAAAATAATGTTTTCCAGTTCAACTACAAAGGAAGTTACAGTCATCTCTCTACAGTTGCTGGAATTAGGGGCATAGGGCCCTGTGAAATGGAAAAAAAGTAAATAAAAATACTATTTTTCTGAGGCCCCTTCTACACTGCCATATAAATCCAGATTATCTGCTTTGAACTTGATTATATGGACCCCCGGTGGCGCAGTGGGTAAAACCCCTGTGCCGGCAGGACTGAAGACCGACAGGTTGCAGGTTCAAATCCGGGGAGAGACGGATGAGCTCCCTCTATCAGCTCCAGCTCCTCATGCGGGGATATGAGAGAAGCTTCCCACAAGGATGATAAAAACATCAAATCATCTGGGCGTCCCCTGGGCAGCGTCCTTGCAGATGGCCAATTTTGTCACACCAGAAGCAACTTGCAGTTTCTCAAGTCACTCCTAACATGACAAAAAAAACTTGTTTATATGTCAGTGTAGACTCATATAATCCAGATCAAAGCAGATAATATGGATTATTTGTTTTGATAATCTGGATTGTATGGCAGTGTAGCCTGCTTACAGCTTGTCATTCGAGATGAGAGAGAGAGAGAGAGAGAGAGAGAGAGAGAGAGAGCATTTTCATGCTTGGAAGTAAAACGTTTTCATGCTTGGAAGTAAAACATACTTGGATGGGAGGCTTCCAACAAATACCAGGTGCTGTAGGCTATATTCCAGAGAAAGGAACAGGCAAGACCATCTCTGAGTATTCCTTGCCTAAGAAAACCCTATTAAATTCATGGGTTCATCATAAACCAACAGATGATTTGGAGACGTGCACAGTCACGCACACGCGCGCGCACACACACAAAGGTATTGTACTAGTTAGTCGGTGATTTGCACATAGTAATTTCTGCTTGCAAAGTAGATGTATATGAAAAAATGAACATTTTCAAGCTCTGGCTCTAACCACTGCACTACACAGTATTTGGATCTCTGCCATGACCCAGCATGTTCTTCCTCATATCTTGCATGAGAAAATTCAAAAGGCATTAACTACTGTGTCTGTAGGCAGTAACTTTCTTTATTTTGTCAAGGGTGGCATTTGGGGAAAATGCTGGTATAGATTAGTCTGCCAATGTATGATTTCTATCTTCTTCCCTGAAAGTCATGGCCTTTTAAAATCATAACCTTTTGCATAAGCAGTGATATTTCCAACTGTGATGCATAAGCTATTCCTCATGCCCCAGTATGTTTACAGAGTCAGAAACCATAATTGCTTCTCTTCCTAATTGCGAAGGGTTTTGTTTTGGCTCTGGTAGGACATTAGATCAAGCTAGTCAACTATAAAATCATAAATCATCCTGGGAAATGCATAACTCAGATAGTGGAAGCCTGGTCAGAAAAATTAAATGTGCTACTTGACAGTAGTGTTTGGATGATCAGATATTAATTTGATAAGCCAGAATGTGTATGACTATTATTTGTGTATGTGTTTAGTTTTTTGCATAACACAATACTAATATATATTTGTTACTGTTAGCTTTCGATTCCTATTCAGTTTACCAAAAGGCTTACTTTAGCATTTTATGGTACATAAATCTTGGGCAATGAAAATGATGGAGATACTAAAAATAAAAGGGTGTGCTATTACCCTTAATACCACATATCCTTACGAAGTTTGAGAATATGTCCTCACCAATATAGGGATTGTATTGTAATTTTAAATTTTTTTAATTGTATTTTTCTCTCAATGCTATATTTGTCTTAGGATTGGCTTGAGTACCAATTCTGAGGGAGAAAAGGGGAAAATGGGGAAGGGGGGGAAAGATTAAGATTTAATTATAACAGAACTCCTATACATTTTTCTGGAGAAACATGTGCCTCTGAGATAAATGAGGCTTTCTTTCATGTAATTATGCATAAAATTGTGCCTTTCATCTCACTAATTTAAGATTTTTTTCCCTGGAAAAATAGAAAACACTAGTATATCTTCCACACTTTAAGTAACCATTTTCTGATATATTGTCCATTCTCTTTTCCTATGAATAACCTGTACATAGCTTCAGGTCTTCCTGTAATTACATTTTCATAATTCAGGAAATCCAGAGCAGTGCTTTGCTTTTTTTGTTCATCTCGCAATGTGATCCTGACCTTGAGTTACTGTTGCTCTCACTGGGCTTTGATCCTAAACACCCCATGGACAGACAACGTGCGGGCTTACATTGATAGGGATCAAAGAGAAACAGCCAGGCCAGGATAACAGTATGCATGAGCTGGCAGACCTTTATTCAGTAAAAACAGAAGAGAAATCTGTATGAATCCTCGGGAACTCACAGAGTAACCTCAGGCAAGTAATTGTCTCTCAGCCTCAGAGAAAAGCAAGGAAAAACTTATTTCTGAAACAATAAAACCCAATAAAACCCCGTGACAGCTTCAGCTTAAGGTCATTCAAGGTTGAAATTTTTTTGAAGGCACACAACACCAAATGATAAATTAAAAGTATGGATAGTATTGTAGCCCAGCAAGCATCAGAGGATTTTTCTGATGGTGGTTCAGAGGATGAGGGAGATGATGGGTTTCACAGTGAGGAAGCTGTGAGTGAATAGAGAGAATTTCAGGCAGATGAGACTGAAGTTTTGGATTCCTGTTCTTGTTCCCAAGCAACAAAGGAAAGTGAAAATTCCAGTTACCCTGAGAAAGACAGAAGGCCTTGGGAAGAGGGGGAGTTTTCCTGGGAAACTAGATTGGGCCTGAAAATGCAAGGAGTGAAAAAAAAGCCAAACTAGGTATTCTAAAAGAGTCCAAGATAAGACCTGAGATCCAGGTGTGTTCAGCATGATGTCATGGGTGCCTAGACGGGCTTAAATTAAGTGGTTTGGCTTCAACCTCTCAGAAGAGATAATGCTGCCATAGGAGATGGCTCTCTGGTCACTGCTATCAAGTTCATGATTCAAGTATTCTTAAGATTCTTGTTCTGGTTCATGCCATTGTTTTCCTTGAAGGGTTTACCTTGGGAAAGTTCCTGTTTTCATGTTTATGGATTTATGTTTGAAGTACTGCTGTGGATTTTGGTTTAAGCTCTTTGTCATTTTTGGATTACTGCTACTTTTTTATTCTATGGACCCTTTTGGAATTGCCCTTTTTATCTGCTTTCTTTAATAAACATTTTAATTAGAATTTCTGCACTCTGGTGTGGTGCTGGGTGAAAAGATATTTCAGTGTTAGAGTGCATCAGTGAGGAGGAAAAACTATCAGAAACCCAGGATTGAGTCAGGACTTGATCTCAACTCTTGGTGTGATATAAGTCACAGTGAGCAATAAGAGTTGTTGTAGGTTTATTTATTTAAAACATTTCTATTCCGCCCTTCTCACCCCGAAGGGGATTCAGGGCGGTGGACAGCATATATACGGCAAACATTCAATGCTGGGACAAGAATTCATATAAGCATGCATAAACATTAAAAACATTTATCAAAATATTAAAATACACATTTTAAACCATCATTGGTCATCTGTGCCAAATCTAAATTA